ACCGGTTGCTGATACTCAGGGACAGCGTTTCTTGGCAAAGCAGTCAAAGCTATGGGCGTACTTGGGCTCGCGCACCCTGGGAAAGATCAAATCTTTGCGCGTGCCCTCTCTATTTCTTCAGATATGCCATGAAAAGCTGCCGCCGAGTGGCGAGCACCGGTATCGTGCCCACAAAAACCAACAAAACAGCTTCGTCTTTTTTTTTTTTTTACTTTTTTTGTGCTTAAACTTTGAGCTGCCCAGTACATACCTGAAGTGTTGGAAATCGGCGATGACTTTCAGAGTGTTATGCGACCCGCTACTAAGTAATCGACGCGCTGTCATGTCAAGAATTTGAGGAATTGCATTTCTTACACAGATAAGAGGAGGCTCGGTCAGCGACAGTGGTTTATTGAACATAACCAGAACGCAAAACGGAACGCTCAAAAGACTCTTCCGCTTTGAGAAGTACGACCTGGACAAACGTTTGCGTTCTCTGAAGATGCCCGCCGAGGTAATCAGCGCGCAGAAAGGGTGCCGGGCATCGAGGGTCTCTACATGACACTGAGGCGTCTCGCGTATCCAAACAGGCTTCTTGGCTTGTTTGCATATAGTTTGCAGCCACTAACTGCGGTTAGACCCAACTCTACTCCTGACCCCTTTTGTCGAAATAAAGGCAAATGTCGTGCAATGTCATCACTAAGTATTGAAGTACATTAAATATAAAGACATTTTGTCTTCTTTATAGGGTGATTCCACGTCAGTTCGTGCAATGATGGTTCGGGTCATAATTTAGATATTTTTGTCAAAAAATATATATATGAAAGCCATGTTCTTGAGGGGAACATTTAGCTATATATGAACGCCGTAACAATTTTTTTTTCGCTGAGACATAAAATAGAGAACCTCGAGGCGTGGAAGTTGAGATTTCACGATGCTACTTTGCACAATCGTCATTTTCTCATCGAAGCTTTCACGTCATCTTAACTTTTTTAATACCTTTTACGGAAGATATACAACACACACACACAAAGTTAAAAATATCAATAAAATATTTCTATGCTAACTAAATGATCAAACATGGCATCAAAACGCGTTTTAGATACATATTCACAATTTTTTGGCAAATGAACCATCTTTCATAATACTTCACGAAACATATCAAATTATGCGCCTTTAGATATTCTTTACGGATATATAAAGGTAATATGCCCCCCATGAATTGTCTTCTTCTTATTAACGCGCAAATGCAAAATGTGGCAAGATTGGGCGTCGATATTTGAAAAAAGAACTCAATTTTTTTTATTTTTCTGAAACTCCCCTTGGCGCTTTGCAGTGACTTGAACTAACTTGAGATGGCAAAACATTGAGTAACGTATGACCTCCAAACGGGGAAATCTACGATAAACCTTCACTCGGAGGGAGCAGACGTCTTCGTCATAGCGGCTTTGCCGCACAGCACCAAACATTTTGAACGTTAGTTATGGCATGTATTTTATGTCTTTAAAATTTTTTTTTTCATAAGGGGTGAGTATCACTGAGGCGAAAAGATATTTGGAGCTGGAATACCATTAATTAGCTTATAATTCACAACAACAAAACGGCCCCATACTGCAAATTCGCTAACTATGCATACATAAGCTTAAAACTCTCAGTTGCGCAAGTGGCCATGTATACAATGAGCAAATGGCGACTGTGCAAAGTAGCATCGTGAAATCTTTTAAATGTCCACGCCACGAGCTTTTCTATTTTTTATCTCAGCGAAAACAATTGTTACGGCGTTCATATATAGCAGAATGTTCCTCCCAAGAACCATGGCTTTCATATATATCTTTAAGAAAAATATCTCAATTATGACCCGGACCATCATTGCATGAACTGACGTGGAATCACCTCATAGGCATTTATTAACAAATATGATAATGCTCCTTGCTTTCTTTGTGGCGCACAAAACAAACACTAGGCAGTTTTAGTGGGCCGTACGCTATAGGTTTGCGTACGCAAGGAAATTGCGGGTCGTGAGTGCGCATGCGCAGAACGCAATAGAAGGGCTAGCGTATTGCGCACGCACGCAACGCTGGAGATTTTGCGTGGCGGGCTAGCGGGCTTTGCGGGACGCCGGGGACGCTCTCGTGAGATCTCGGACCCAACGAGAGCGCCAGTTTCAAAATGGCGGTTACCTCGACTGGCGCAGAAAGGGCGACGTGGTGTTTTCGAATTTCTGTGTTACGGGAAATTGGCTGGTGTTCAGCTCGGCAATTCTTTCTGGGACCTATCGCAGTCGAATCAGATCGCCGTGCAGCTGAAGGAGTGCACAGTGAAAATGTTCGCCGCTCGGAATGTGCGTCAACGTTGCGATCTGCTCAACGCTAAGCTACGTCAGAAAGAGAATATGTGGTATGGAACGTGGTTATATACGCAATTGAGCATTTGACCGCATCGTGACATGGATGAAAACGAACGAAAGGCTCGCATGCTGCGGCTCAGCGTCTACGCAGACAAGCACCACCAGAGCTTCGCCCCAATCAACATCATTCACCACGTGGAGATGCGGTTGTTTTTTTTGTTTTGTTTTTCTTTAATTTTTTTTCTGGAACTTTTATTGCGTGGGGTGCAACACGAACGCGTGTTTCATAGGTCATTAACGTCAGGGATCCGTCTTAAGCGGTATTCGCGCAAAGTACAAAAATTGTTGCATCGCCCCTTTAAAGAGGTACGGCTACTAAATGTTTGCACTTATTTCATTATTTAGATATGACCAGGGATGGGCAAAATACATACAAATATGTATCGAAATACAAACACAAAATACTGCGTCAAAAATGTATTTAATTACAAATCTAATTACATTTCCAAAAAAGCATTTAAGTACAAGATACAAATACATCCCAATGTATTTGGTCTCCTCCAAATACTTCTCCAAATACATTCCTCAAAATTTGCGTCAGCCACTTCAGGCCACCTGCAACGGGTTTCTGGGTATTTCATTTTAATTTTGCATCGCACACTCGGTAGTGTGCGAGGTTCTAGTAACGCAATAGAAATGTAACCACAAAAATATCTAATCAGCTTGGACGTAATAGGTTAAAAAAGTACAGACCTTCAAGTAGCTTTTTTTGTCGATTACATTTTGGTATAGACCAACAAAGAACCGAGACGACCAAGACGCGCATCACTAGCTAGAGAATTTTTTATTGCTGCAACTCGCACCAGTTACGAAAATCTGGACGAGACCCGCACATTTAGAATGTTCCAGGCAAAAATATGGATGTAAATCAGGCTGGAAAGCATCAAAAGTTGTCACAGGCACTTATTTAGCCAGTCTGCCTGTGAACGTCGATTTCGTCACTATTCTTGCCCTGGACTAGCACCGTAATCACAAAGTCACTAAACGCTTGTGCTTGATTGAGAGACACCGCATTCTGTGCAGAACGTAGTTTTCTTCCTGCTCTGGAGAGTGTCTTTAAAATAAAGCCGGAGGCGAAAAAGAAAATAGCCACATGGCCGAATAAAGAATGGAGACAATATCTTACAACCACATGCATAAATACAAGATGTATTTTCGCCTGCAAAATTGTATTTAATTACAATTGTATTTGAAATACCCACGTTTTAGTATTTAAATACACACGTCAAATACATTACCCAATTTGTAATTAAATACAAAGGCAAAATACACAAAGTATTTAAAATACGTATTTCAAATACTTGTATTTGAAATACTGCCCATCCCTGGATATGACCTATGTTGTACCGGCAGTCCAGAAGCACTAGTCTAGACTAGTGCTTTGGGACTGCCCGCAGAAAAAGAAAACTAATTTAACCGATTTTAAAATTGTGTCTGGTGGCGGTCTGTGAAGCTCCGTTCGAATGCCGCACGTCATGAGTTCCTAAGAAGCAGCGCCAGTTCGCGGCAGTATGGTTCGCTCGTGGAGTTACTTAACCTTGAATGTGAATTGGCGGAGAACGCTGACGCGTTTACGCCTTTGTATATGTTAAAGTAGGGTGCCTATGTTAAAGCTTCCACAATGCTTCCGCAACGTGCATTCCACACCATCCATTCGGCGTTCTTTGCAGACGTTAGGGAGCTTGATTTGCATGAGGACGCGGCGACCCCTGCCAGGCCAACCATAACCCCCACCACCACCACCACCCTCCGGATGCGATAAGAATAACGCGCTGAAATATGGCAACCAGTGAATACTTTATCTACATAGCTTGCAGGTGTCGCCATTGCCGGGTACTGACGGTTATTTTTACAGACTGGTTCCCTCGAGCTGCTACTTCTGTGGTGTGAAACTGGCGTGGTGAACCGAGCACTCGTGGCACATAACACACCGGCATGGCCGCGAATGACGTTACAGGGAAGCTATGTAGGACAGTTGCGAGCAAGGACACTGGCCGCCGCCATATCTCTGTTCGTGCAGACAAAACCTTGCAATTGAAAGCTTGCCAAAGCTATGCTCACGCGCAAGCTGCACGTAGTACATGCGTGCATAGGGCACCAGTCGGGGCGCCATGCTTGCAACTGTGTACAGGCCATAGGGCTTACGGGTCCCGGATATTACTGATAGGTGGGATTGTCACGCGTTAATGCCACCAAGCGGCAACGCTGGCAACTACGGTACCCTTGCCAGTGCAGGAACTCTTGACGTCACGAGCGCGATAGGCATTGCGCTTCTCGCTAGCCGACTTTGAAGCGAGAGGTAGAGAACTCGCGGTCACGTCATTTGGTTTCCGTACCAGCTAAAGGGTGAACGGAACGTAGTGTGATGACGCCCCATGCAGGTGAAGAGGCTACCTGTTTACGGGCTTTCACTATTTAGGTTGTTTTGGCTTTACTCTGTATAAACTATATTTCCAGCCCCCCCCCCCCCCCTCGACTAACCCACTAAAATTATACAATCGTTCTTCGAATAGAATGAACTGGATGTTCGAACTCAAACAAAAAACAAAGGTTTCATGTGACCACCTAGCAAAGATAAGAAAAACATTCTACGAGCAAGGTATGTTCGTTGCAGCTTCGTGTGGCAGCTCTGAACCAGCCGTGGACGGGCGACATGCACGGAGTCCGCGGGGCCGACTACGAATGCTACCGGCAGTCGAGGCATGCCCACCTTCGGGGCACCTTCAGGGCTCTACTGGCCTCCAGGGTGCAGAACCTGGACAGCATCGTCAGGGCCAAGGACGCAGACCTACCCCTCGTCAACCTCAAGGTCGGTTCCTCTTCCGAGCTGGGATGAACTCTAACACTGCTTCTTGTAACTACTCAATATATTTAGGCAACGAGAAATTAACTTGCTTGGATCTCCGCTGTGGAAGAACAGTTCGGTCACACTAGCGCGACTGTGAACCTGAGATCTTGAGCGTGCATGGCAGAGTCATGGTTGCAGTCTGAGACCTTAAGTTGTAGTTACAAACTCAGTGCAGCCCGTAAACACCACACACGCTACCAGGCGCCACCATAGCGGCCAGTTTGCTTTGACCAAATGGTGACGGAATATTAAATTGCCTAGCTGTTCTGTCCCTGCCGGTAAAAGCTCTCCTCGTTGTTAGTGCAATCAGCGTTTGCTTGGAGTCATACGCGTTTCACCGCCGCTGCTGCAAATTTAATGGTCATCGGCCAGGAGGTTTTAAGTAACTGACTGCTTCTCTTTCCCAAATATTTTTTCCACCTTCATTCTCCTCCAGAAGTTTTCCCCACACGTGGCTGGTGCAGCTCCCAGTCAATGAGCAGCTGGAAGTCTTCAGGTGGCACACTGCTACTGGAGACTCATTTTGTCCTCAGTCGAATATTGAACCAACTCCACATTGAATTTTGCCTTCTCTGTTATCACCGAGTACAAAAAGATACTAAAGCCGATGCTTTAACCTCCCCGAGCCAAATCTGCCACGTTTTCGCCTTGTGGCAGCCTTTACTCCCTCGCCCGACCCTTCCGTGCTCTCTTTTTCCAGGAACCTCAAAATAATATTGAGCTATGCCCTGTGTTTGTATATAGATGTCTCACCTTGGCCTGCTGTATCTTCAGAATGTTTGAAAGCCAACGGATGAAAAGTACTATTTCTTGTAAATATAAAAGAGCTTCTGCGGGTTTTTGCTCGGGCGTTTTCAGCGGAGTCGCACTTATCCTAAATCAATCGTCGGCTTGAAAATGAGGGTGGCGTCATCTTGAATCATTGTCTACATTCTGTACATGGTGTACCGATAGCTGTAATATAGCACCCGAAATGTACCTCAAAACGCGAATCTGCCATCTTTAGCCGTGTTTTCCCATTCTTTCTTTTGGGCTGTACATTTTTTCCCCGCACACTCTAGCAGCTATAAATACTACAGTTGAACTTGTCTAGCTTGCATACTTGCACTCGTCTGGGATATCCAACTTCGCAATTAAACCGCCCTGGGACATCATGGACAAGCCTTGAAATGTCCGTTATATTCCATCTTCCGAAACAGCCCTGATACTAAGCAAAGTATAGGACAGCCAAAAACAGAGGTGTTCATCTTGAAATATGGAGTCTTTAGGTAGTCAGCAAGTCACTTTGACTTTATATGGTCAATTTATAGACGCGTTGGGCGTGGAAGGCCTGCATGCCATTCCATGTCCTGTCTCGTTCTCTAAAGGTGTCTTTATATATTCCTGAGTAAACGACCAATATTATTTCTTTGTGTTTTTTCACTAAAGGGAGAAGTCGTCTTCAACTCTTGGAGAGAACTATTCTCCGGCGGAGGAGGCATGTTCCCATACCCTCCAAGGATCTATTCCTTCGATGGAAGAAACGTGCTCACGGACAGCACTTGGTACGTCCCTACACTGTGTCCTTCTTGGTATGAATGACACACTCTCAGCCGTCAAACTCATTGCCACTGCCCTCACACTCGCAAACGGCTGGCGTAATTTCCTACCAACCTTGGTCAACAGTCAAATTTACAGTACAAATAGTAGAAAGTTAGTCTGCTGTGAAGTAGCATTTTGTTTCTCAACCGCGAAGAAGCACTCTGGCCAATGCATTACAACTACTAACTTGTGCTCACTAAGGTGTATCACACGCCGGTACATTTTCCCTCATATAGTGCAACTCTGTAGAAAATAAAATTTCACCTCGGCACACTTTCAGTACACATGTAACCATGATAAATTCATTTGCGCCGCTTTTAACCTAGCGTTGTGGAGCTTTTTTACAATGTTTGAGCAAGGCTACCATTCCTCTTTCACTTCTCGGCGAATCGGCAGGGATTTGAGCAAAGCGTTATAGCCATGCCGAACTAGCGCACACGTTTCGCAGCAGCCTATGCCAATATAAAAATTGCATCGTTACAAAGAAAACATTTCCGTCTATTTGAACATCGTGAAAATACGCAGGCATCGCAAGTACGTCTGGCACGGCGCCGACGCGCTGGGGACCCGGGACATGGAAAACTATTGCGACGCCTGGCATTCGGGCGCGCCGGCTCGCTACGGCCTGGCTAGCTCCCTCCTGGGCCAAGCACGGATGCTGGGCCAGGAGAGGCACTCGTGCGCCAGCAGCCTCATCGTGCTCTGCGTCGAGGTGACGAGCCAGCAGGAATACGAGCTTGACCAGGAATCCATCCAGAGCATAAAGCAGAGAAGGAAGAGAGACGTCCACGATGTCGATGATGCTTCGGATGACGCCACCGAAACACAACGGAAAAAGCACAGGACGGAGCGAGTCGGCGATGTTAAAGAACAGGAAACTGCTTCAAAGGCGAGAGCTAAAGAGGCAGAAACATCATGGGAGCAATGGTGGAAGTCTATGTGGCCGTCGGAAGCGGAAGATTAGACGGTCAAGAACACTTTCGAGGTGGTCGGACGACGGATAAAACGCCGTTGCAACGACCCTTTTGGTGACCATGGCGTATAATTGACAGTCATACCGTCAGAGCTGGGAATTATACTTGTTTAATTAGAGCTGAACAAAAAGTCAAGGAGCGAAGGACACGGGGCAAGGGATATTGATTAACCGCAAGATGTAAGAAGGGCCCCACCGGTTTAAATAGTGATATTTGCCTTTAAGGTATTCAACACAGTCACAGATTTAAAAAAAAAAAAAAAAACATGTTGTTGCTCCAACGCTTTTTACAAACTGAGGGTCGCTGATACGCTACTGTGACATTTGATGTTACGTCGGACAGAATAGATAATGAGAGAGGGCCAACGAAAACTGAAAAACGAAACTATTTGTAGCTGTTTTGACATATTTCTGGGAAAACAAAAGCTCCGAACGTGCCATTAAAATTATAAAATATTTTCAGATCCATCCATGTGGAAAAAAAACTGAAGGTGCATATCTGATCCACAGATTATAAGTTCTTGTCCTCTTCTCTTTTTATGAAGGCATGTGCTTATTTTCGTAAAGCATATAATCTTCAAGACGACGTTGAAGAATCGGTTCGACAATAAAAAATCATTGTGGTGTTGCTTGGTTGAGAACAGAATCACGGGTGGCACATCTGTCACATTATAAGAATGCTCAGTGTTTTTGGTTCAGTCAGTGAAGCACTGTAGAGTACTCAGCATGCATGTTTTATGTTTAAAAGGCTCACAGAGCAAACAGTCATTAAGTCAAAGGAGCTGAATGGCCAGAATGCGATGCCAGTCTCATAGAGTGAAGTGCGTAGTTTCTTGAAGTTCCGTATAATTCTTTACCGATTGGACAGTTTTACTTGGAAACATGGGAGATGAAAACCATGCCCCCAAGTTCACACATCCCGATATGAAGGGCACTTTTATCCTAACCCTGCCTTTGGTTTACCGCTAATACGCCATGAAATTCCATTTTGTTCAACAACCTTTTAGCCAGAAAACTTCACCAATTGTTTCATGATACTCTTTCTGAACTCAAAGGTGCTAGCTTCTTCTAGCCCGGGCAGGTCACCTCTCTGAGCTATGTGGATAAACAAAACTACATTTTCTCTTGTGGATTGGGAATGAAGAAAAAAAAAAACCTTTTTACCGCCTGACGAAGAGATGTGAACAGTGTTTTGTACGATTGCTCCGAGGATGTTCCTAAGGGGTGCATGTTTACTAGAGTGGGATTTTGTACAAGAGAGATGAGTGTGCGTCTGGTGTCGTCACTTCTGTCCGTGTGATATGGTTGATGTTGTAGAAACTCTTGTGGTTTATTTATTGTGGGCAATCTTCTGTGCTATTCACTTCCATATCTGTGTGGTGGCATGCATTTGTGCCAAATGTGTTTATTTTCTTCTTTTTTTTTAGGTGTTCAAAACGCACACTGTTGAGAAATATTTGTACTATGAGGAAAAAAAATATATATTAAAATCACCCAGTTTCAAGATAAGAGCTCAGTATGCCATCACATAGAAATCAACAAGATAACTTTTTCACTGGTCGATACTACTAAATCTAAATTCTAGGTTTTTAGAAAAGTATCAAGCCGGAATAGTTATCAGTTGATAATTTGCAACTGCCCTCTGGTGTAATTTGTAGCATAAAAGGGCTGCTCTTTGGCACAGAACTTAAAGGGAAACTAAAGCGGTTCGTGATATTCAAATTCACAGAACAAAAATACGCTTAAATCACCTCAAGCTGGTTTTATTATTTTTTTTTTTTTCAAAGACCTCTTCAGCTTCCCTGTAATTCCAAGATGTGCTCTTTCAAACAAAGTCCCACGCCGTATTTTTACTGTCCTTTTGGTGCTTTCATCACAAGAATCTAAGCTCATGCTGTCATCAAATAGTAGAATGAAAACAACCTCAAAACCTATTCACTGCATGTGTTCCATTTGAATTCTCGTGTAGTCGTCTGCATTTCCCAGGGCAATAGTGTATAGAATTTCTCAATGAGTGAGGTACCAAGTTTTGTAACTCATGTTGTGCAATAATAAACTTTCCATTGTGAACACAAAGACTACCCAGTCTTATGCCATATCGAAAAAGTAAATTATGCTGTAGAAAAAGCAATTAATTAAATTAGATCATCATCAGTTTGCATAGAACCTTTGGGCACCAGGTATAGGCATCTGCTCTGGCATGGTTTGGCATCTTTCCAGAGTTTAATGCACTCACCGTGAGTCATTCCTATGTAAATTTCAAAGCTAACTCTTGTCAACAAATGTTCCAGACAAAACGTGCATGTGTTGAAAAGAGTTGCAGAACACATTAGAATTTGTATAAAATGCTTATTTCATATTTGTAGACTGCACAACACTGTTAGCACGAACACGGCATCGGCACTTTTTCACATATTAGTCAAGCAGAATATCGAAGGACACCAACATTCACCGCTAAGGTTCCTGTTTCAATGAGGACGTTCCACCACACTACGTACCCTAGTTGCGTTTTATGGCAGCCATTAATTTTTAAAAGAACAGAAAAAAATCACCGATTGTTTCTTTCCATTAAGTGTTTCACGCGAAGCACATGCATATAAGAATGTATTTAGATTGGCTGATGACTTAAAATAATTTTGTTTGAATAACAGGTCTTCACTGTCTATCACAGCAGCACGCACTGGCAAGAATTGTAGAGCTGTCCCAAGAGTCATTTTTGAAAACAAATTGAATAGTGACTGCCCTGAATGGAATACAATTAAAACCTTTTTTTATGTATTTTTAATAGTGGGTAGGTTCTTCAAGAGCAGGAGTACACTGTTTAGAATGCAGTTCATTGTCCACGGAGTTACCTAGAAATCATTGTAATGAAACAATTGAGTAGGTAAAAATGACTAAAATTGAACAGCGCGATTATAAAGAGACAAAAAACTAAAATCTGTAAGTTTCCTCTTGGGGATGACAACCATCATAAAAGTGGTCGACAAACTCCTACACTTCACTGCACTTTCTGTTTTACGACCTTCATGATTCTACTTCACTCTTGCTGGGAAACAGCACCAGAGCAGCCGGTCAACAGTTGATAAAAAAAGATAGTCACCATGTTACGCTTTCCGAAAACGTAAATAAGCAGTTTTGTGCGAAAGTGCCGAGTTAACCTAGGTGCGGTAGGCGAATAAAACGACCCAGTACTAGTATAAAAAAAAATCGGCCTACTGATGATAGTGTGCCTGTGAGATTGTAGTGACATCATACGGCACATATGGCAGGCGTGCAGTAGGGCACTGAGGGAAAACTTGACATTAAACCGTGCCTGTTATTCGGGAAATAAAATAAATACTTAAAACTTTGAAAATTTACTATTTGGTTAGAGAAACAAATCAAATAGAGTAATGTTTGATCTACCTTTAAGATAATTAATTTAGCAACCCCTAAAGACTTGCCTTCGTGAAGCAAAATATTTCTGAAGCATATCAAACAAGGGGAAAAAGCACCATCCCATCTCAAGGTGTCTATCGCAAAAAAGAATTGTACAAGACAACTATAAAAAACACCGCAATTTACATAAGCCTGTAATGTGCAAATGCTAAAGCAATAAAGTTAATGAGACCATTACTTACTGAAATACCAAGCAGTTGCAAAGCTTCAATTTTTTTGCAAGATTCTGATTAAATAAATGATTGTGGTTCAAAACAAGCGCAATCAAGTATGTCACACTCGCGTCTTCCAGTTGACCTGGCTTTAGTCTGCACACCTCCTCCATTGAAACATATCACTACACAGTGAATACGCATCCTTTCCAGGTAGGTGAGTAACAAAGGCTTTGTCCATGGCAAGCATCATCTTTGACTTACCAAATAAAACACTAAATGCTACTATTACATATCATATATGATATGAAATACTGCCGCTGTAATAAAGGGCAAAAAGATGAAATACTGCGGCGCTCGCAGATGTTGGGGGTCCATATCAAATGAGCGAATGACGTTTCAGCGAACAGCGACATTTGAGCTAATCGACGTTTTAGCGAATAAAAAAGGCGCGAATAGTCGCCTATAATCGGCCGCCGGGAAGTTCCATTCGCTTATGTGTTATTCGGTGAAACATGGACGTTCGCTAAAACATCATTCGATCAAGCAGACATGTACACGTTACCCAAAAGAGTAACTAAATACTGTTACTCGTCACTCGCTCAAAAAGTAACTAAGTTCGTTACTCGTTACCGATTCTGAAAAGGAACGCCTGAGTTACATCAAAAGTAACGAGTTCCTTTTACGTTACTTTGACGAGCAAATACACAACTGTTTTTGTTTCATGTTTTTTTTTTCTTTTTAATAGTCCTTGCACTTAAGCAGTAGCTGCCTGTCGAAGTTTTTATCAGTTATGTGTCCCCGCTGCCTTGAAAATACATCTCTAGCTACGCTGAAGAGTCGTTCTACCGACGCGCTCGAAGGAGGGGCAGTGTTGTGCATCAGCAGGAGCTGGTGGATCTGGGATTTCCCTCTCTCTTGTATTCTCTCTACTTCTAAAGTTCGAAGTTGACAATGGATTGTGTGCCTTCCCGCGTTGGCAACCTCCGGGTTTACATTCGGTCCGTACTCGGTTCTAGAAGGTTCAACCAACAAAATTTATTGTGGTCGCTGGGTGAAGGACATTGCCAGCTGTAGAGTTCAGTACCGCAATGTTTATCGCTGGACACGTCAGTCGAACAGTTCGACTGGCGTGTTCAGCGATATACGTTGCTGTACTGTCATGCTGTTTAGTTGTTTTTCGGGTTGCCCTCCTACCGTTTTCGCAATAGGCGTATACTCAGGTTAGAATAAAGACAAGGCCGTTTAAACGGTGTTGTACACATTATTCCTCAAAAGTAACGAGATACCGTTACTCGTTACTTAGCTTTAAAAGTAACTAAGTACGCTACTCTTTCCTTTTTCTAAAACAGTAACTAAATACTTTACCCGTTCCCGAGCATAGTAACTAGGTAGAAGTAACTCGTTACTTGTAACGCGTTACGTACATGTCTGCGATCGAGTGCCTCCCACAAGTAGGCAGTTCGCCCCTGGACATTCTTCTCCCGGCTGCGAAAGCGGACGGACGCAGAATCATGTGCTCTGCTGGAGCGGATATAACGGCCCCCGTCGGCCGCGGTGAATCGATTATCTCCGGAGACGAAGATTACAGAATGATTTTGCCCGCACTGCCATCAGGGGAATCGATGAAGAACGCTGTCGTGCTGCACGGCGACAACGCTTGTCGCCCGTATCGCATAGAGGACTTCAGGCTACCACTGGGCGAAGCAGGTGTCCTCGGGGAGGTGGCCAAGATAGGGTCATTTCAGATGTCCCACGTCTGGCTGCTAGAACTGAAGACCTACGCGGCCAAGCAGAAACTTCTGGCGGGGCGGCTTGCAGTAAAGGGTCGGAAATGTGTCGTGGTCGACCCGTACAGACAGGAGATTCGTATTAAGCTGCACTGGGTGTCGTTCGGCGTCACGAACGACGCCATCCAGCGGGCTTTCTACGACTATGGGGGGGTGAAGGAAGTGGCGTACGAGAAGTGGAAAGTGTCAGGATTCGACGGCGTCGAGTCAACAACCCGCACCATGCGTCTCGTTTTGCGGGAGGGCGTCAGCCTTGAGCGTCTGCCGTACCATCTTCGGCTGGGCGGCGGCATGGTGCTCGTGGTTGTGCCTGAACGGGCCCCTGTGTGCCTCAGGTGCCGTAGGACAGGCCACATCCGACGCGAATGCCGGGCCCCTTGGTGCAGCGAGTGCCGTGCCATCGGCCACAAGCGGGCCGACTGCGTCCGCACATACGCTCGAGCTGCAGGACGAGGTGCAGGTGACGACAACACGGACCATCTCATGGATGAAGAGGAGGCAGAGAAAGTGGCAGCACCCAAGGAACCGACGACCGAGCGGGCGAAGGATGGCGAGCCTGGCACCGTCCCTGAGGTGGTGAGCGCATCGCCTCCTGCGGGGCCGTCGACCGAGGCCCCCCCCTTCGCCACTGGCGGACGAGGTCCAGTCGGCGACGTCTTCCGGAAACGACGAGGCAGGCAAGGCTCCGGCTCCTGGCGCAGACCCCACTGGGCCAGAGATGGACGTTGTGGAAGGCTCTGCAAAGCGCCCGTTTGTCGACGACACGGAGTCTTCTCGGGACCAACGGCTGCGCCAGCTGGAGCACAAGTGGAGGTTCCCTTACAAAAATATGTATGGACACTTCTAGGACGTTCTATAGACCAGCGTCCATAGGCAGAACAAAAGGCATCTATAGGCAGACCACGACCTCTGTTGCCTCCGTGAAGTCGTCCTATGGCTGCCCTATAGAATATAGGCCAACGGACGTTCTATGGACGTCCTATTCTATGGATGATGTGTGCTCATCCTATACCCTCTCTATGGCAAGGCGCCATATAGAGTTCATAGGGACTCTATAGGGTTTCTGCACAGGGTCTTTACGGTGTCTATAGGGTGCCTGCAGAAAACCCATACGAAGCCTACAAGGAGTCCCTAGGGAGTCCACAGGGAAGTCATACAAGGTCTACACAGGGCCCTCATGGGGTCTGCAGAAAAGCCATACAAGGTCTACAGGGAGTCCCTACAGGGTCTGCAGAGAAGCCACTCAGTCTGCAGGGTGTCTGCTACGGGGTCCGCACCGACCAACGTTTCTAGAACAAGTCGGTTGGGAAACTGCTAAAGAGCTTGCTCTGAAAAAGCGGCACCGATCTGTACTCGAAAACCAAACTAATTGCGATCGCAACGCCACCATTCCACCCGCAGCGGCCACTTGGAGAACTGCACGACTGCGTGTGTTGGTTTGGGACTATCGATATTCGACAGCATGTGACTGTTCTGCTTTGGCTTTAATCGGCCACTTTGGCGCCGAAACATATACGGTAGAAGAGGGGTTGTAGGGATGCCAACCCCCGTCTCCCAGGCAGACACGCCGCGAATTGCCACCGAAGTTAGGACGCACCCAAGTCGGGACGCGCTACCTGAAGTCGCCGGTGAGGCATGGCTGTAAAAAAAAAATATTAATTGTGCCGCAAAACCCTGTAAGCTAAAAGTGTATGCAAACAT